CCTCTCCTCGGTTTCCAACATGCTCAGGTTAACCACAGTGACCCCAACTTCCCTTTCACATCACCTCTTGGCATGCATACTCCAAACATCGAATCCTGTTGGAACAAACATAAAGCAATGTGCAAGACCATAAGAGGAGTCCACTGCGATACGGTGAACTGTTCTTTGGCTAAATTTATGTGGCACGATTTGGAAATAATGCTTTCAATTCTGTTTAACTGCTTATATCAGGATAATTTCCTATTAACTAATATAATGTTTTAACTTTTGGTTTTAGTATGTTTCAGTACAAATATCCAGGGACAAACTCTTCAACTGAATATATCTGAGAGACAAATTGTTCAATTGATCCAGCAGATCGACTCAGTGTAAGGATGAACGTAAGTTACCTGAAGATGGGACAGACTAACTTGGAAGACAGTGAGTCCCCCGTCCCTGGAGGGTATTCAAGCAAAAGGTGGACAAGCCCTTTTCAGAAATGTTTTGGGGGGACTCACGCATCTGGCCACCACATGGGCTGCTAGACTAACTAACCTCTTCCAACAAAATGTAATGACCCATGGGCCGGCCCGGTGGCACACTCGGTAGAGTGCGGCGCTTGGGAGCGCGTCGCTGCTCCCGCCAAGGGTTCGGATCCCATATAGAGACCGGTCCGCTCACTGGTTGAGCGCGGTGCAGGCGTGACACCGAGGGTTGCGATCCCGTTGCCGGTCGTGGTATGGGTGCGACACTGAGGGTTGCGATCCCGTTACTGGTCACGAAAAAAAAAAAAGACAAAAAGAAAAAAAAAAAAGTAATGACCTTGACTGTGCCATCCATGCCCATACCCTGTACACCCCGTAGCATCTAGGACCCAGTGAAATTCTTTGAAAATAGAAGCAGTGAGTCTATGTAAACAAAGAGGAAAGAAAAAAAAAGGCATAAAATGAGATTATGAAGGATGGAAATGAAAATTTCTATAAAATGCTTCCTAAACAAAAATTCCTAAAGCACAAATGATTTCAGCTTCCAAAAATGAATATACAGCTGAGCACCAATAAATCTTCCACTTCTAGGATGAGGAAAGGGACAGATATTCTGTTTGGACATCTGTAACAAGCATTCTAAGACCAGTGCCATCCCATAAGGGGGAGGGGTGTCTAGGGTGGTAGGGGCCCCACACCCATAAGGAGCGCTTAGTGTCTGTTCACAAGCATGAAGGGTGAGGTTGCCCATGAAGGTTTACTGACCTCTGTTGCATCTGAAGTGATATTCAGAATCCCCAGGTCAAAAAGGGGGCTCAACCTTCCTAAGACTCATGAGCCGACCTGGGTAGATCTGGAAATTCTTCTAAACCCTGAGCTCCAATCCAGGTCACAAACATCCAACTTGGTGTTGTCGTCTCTCCTTGCTGCTCCTCCCTGGGGAGGGCGCATCCCAGCAGCAGCAGAGCCCATGGGATGCGTGGAAATCAGTCAGGGTGCCACACTCTAAGGGAGAAACCACATTGGCTCGCATGCCGAACTGTGGAAAATCTTTATTGTTTTCTCCAACAGATATATTTTTAGTAGAAATATGAAGACGCAGCAACACTTTTGACTTTTCTTCTTAGGAAGAGACAGGCCAGGATTGTCACTGTTATAACAGTGAGGCCCGTGATCGTGACCAGGACAGGCTGGAGCAGAGAACATGCGGTTGACAGGGCTTGGGCCCTCTGTGGGAGCTACCGGTACAAAGAGAGGGGGCAGCCAGCAACATAGGCCTTGATCAGATGCTACAACCTGGGCGAGAGGAGACTGAAAAAACTCACCTTTCCCCAAGGGCTCAGCTGGAGCTCCAGGCCACTGAGCTGGGAGCATGTGTGTGTGACTGTGTGCGCCAGCGTGTGCACACAAGGTACATGTATGTGTGCACTCACAGGGCATGTGCACACACACATTGCCCTTCCTGGGGAAAGATGCTCTCAAGCCCCTGCTGGGGTTGGGTTTCAGCCATATTCCTTACCACCCTTGACCCCTGGGGATGAATGGCCTTGGCACGTTTACTGTCAGCTAGCGAGGGCCAGGAGCCAGTGCATGGTAGAGGATGTGGTGTCTTAGCCGTGACACTCGAGTCCTCCACAACCCACCGACAAAGGGGGTCTCCAGGGCTCAGGCTCCTGTATGCTCTATGACACTGAGGAGCCTCTGAGGCCCTCAGCCCCACACTCTGAGAAGGGAAAGATTTGGCTCTGAGGGTGTCCTCCTAGTTCTGGGTACTGAGGGCAAGAAAGGGGCCTCAGCCACCTCCAACCTGGTCACCAGAGGCTCCTGTCACTGAGGCCTGCATCTTTCTCCAATCCTACCCCAGATCCCACTGAGTGTTGCAGAGAGGGGAGGGCCACCTCCCTGGAAGGAGGTGGCAGGCGGGAGAACTCAGGGTTCCTACACTAATAGTAGGCCTGGGACCCACCCGCTCAAGGATTGCTGCTCTGAGATGCAACTTTGGGGCTGGGTCTGAGGATCGGCCTGGTGAGATTTGCTCAGTGAAGGCCCAGCCAGACATCCAGGTGGGCACTTCATAAATAAGCAATGATGTTGTCCCTTCCAGGCTGACATGGAGTGAGGGCCTTCTGCAGGCAGCACAGTCGGGGGTAGTGCCTTGGATGAGAGAACACTGATGCTGGCTGGGACTCACTGACCAGCAGTAGACACGTGGTAGGCTGGCTGGGGTGGGACAGGGGTTGGTGTTTGGAGTCAAAGATCTCCTGGCCTTGTGAGCCAAGCTGGGACTTTTATGTGGGTTCTGGGCTCCTGGGTAGAGACCCCTGTTAGATGATGTCTAAGGTCTTGTGGGGTCTTACAGCTGGGAGCAGCTCCTTCTCTTTGCAGGATCCCCAAGACGAGGCCTCAGGAAGTGGCACCCAGAGGGATGGCCAAGAGGACGGAGCAGCTCAGCCCAGCTCCCCTGCTCAGCATGGGCTGGCTGGGAGGCCTGGACAGCACTGGAGCAATCCCACCCCCACCACAGGAAGCTAGCTGATTGCCAACTCATGGACGCAATGCACATAAATCCTGCCTAATGGTCACCTCTAAGCTCTGGGCTGCTTGTTCAGGACAACACAAATCTCCCTGGGGGCCCTGTTTTCCAGCTGTTGACCCTGCTCAGGGTCCTTGGGGTCCCCTTGCTGGTGGAGGCAGGTGTGGTCATTAAAGCAAATGCACTCTCCAGGTGGACAACACCCACTGCAAGCAGCACAGTGGGGGTGAATCCATGGCAACAGGAGTCATGGGTGAGCCAATGGGAAACCAAACACACATGTCGAAAGCCAATCAAATTCAAACACAAACCAAAGACGTGAAGGCAGCAGCAAGCTCCTTGTGTAATAAATATTGCAAAGCGCACTTGGTTTTTTCTTTCTTTCGTTTTTTTTCCAAGTCAAATATAACAACCAATGTCCCAAACCCTGTTTTCTGCATTCAGAAGCTGTTGATATCAGCAGAACACCTGCAGCCAATCAAAGAAAAAACTGTTTCCCAGTAATCAGCCAATCATAATCCCTTTCCAGTTTAAGCAGCCAATCGGACCTCTTCACATTCCATTCAGAAGCTGTTGATATCAGCAGAACACCTGCAGCCAATCAAAGAAAAAACTGTTTCCCATTAATCAGCCAATCATAATCCCTTTCCAGTTTAAGCAGCCAATCGGACCTCTTCACATTCTTAAAAAATGACCTAAATAAAGCACCAGAGCTCGGAGAGCTTCCTGGGAAGCCAGATACCGAGGCGCAAATTAAAAAAAAAATAAGAATCAGAAATAAAAATAAAGGTTTCCGTTGGTCAAGATTTAAAAATAAAAAGATTTCTTCCTACAGCCAATCATGAGTCCATCCCTTTAAGCCAATCATAAATGCACCATGGTGTCTCCCTTGATGCCAGCCCTGCTGAGTGGCATGGGGTGGGGTGTGTGGTGGGGTGGGGTGGGGGCTCAGAGAGGGAGGGCTGCCACTCAGCTGGCCGAGGAGCCACACAGATCTCTTGGCTCTTGACAGCTTCTAAGGTGTTCCAAGGGGTTTGCAGCTACTGCCTCCGGTCTTCCGTCTCCGACCTGGAAAACGCCATCACCACATCCTCTGCACCTGCAGACCGGGGGACAAGAATTACTGAAGGGCTTCCAGTGTCAACCTGAAATCAGGACAAGGCAAGGAGGCTGTGGCCCCCCAGATGGAGCATCAGCCCATCAGTATGGTGGTGCTTTCTGCACACAAAGTGCTTCCAAGGAAGGCCAGCTCCCCTCTGGTCGTCTCTGAAGCCTGGCTGGGGGACATAGCCAGCAACCCTGCCGCAGGGCCACAGGGCTGAGGCTCAGAGGCTCATTCAAGGATACACAGCTAAGAGGTGAGCCAGGACGAGGGCCCAGGTCAGCAAGGTCAGTGAGGTCATCCTTGTTCCAAGGCTGTCAAGGCCAAGGTGCCCTTGGGAACCTCCCTGTTTCTTCTCAAGACTCAGGTCTTGATGCCTTTGGAGAATATTGCTCATTGTGATTTTTAATAGCCATTCCCCTTTGCAATGGCTTATCCTTTTCCCAAATCCCACACCTGTTCAAAGGAGCATGGCCAGACCCAACTCCAATCTGCTGACTGCCCGGCTCCAACAGAGACAGATAATGCCCGCAATCCTTGTTCTTATTTTTCTTAATCCTGAATTTGAGAATCTGGTCTGGGCACTCATGAAATCACTTCCTTTGTCTTGTTTTCCATAAGACAGGCTCTGACATGCAGCCAGAAAAGGCAGGAGGGAGGAGGGAAAGAGCTGGAAATGCTACCCTGCCTCCCCCACCCAAAGTTGCTCAGGAGGAAAGCAGCTGACTGTGGCCTGCAGACTCCTGCAGGGCAAGCGAGGTGACCGATGGGGTCCCACCCTGACTCCCCATCCCTGGGTCCTGCTGCCCGCTCCCCTTTTCTTAAAAGGGGATTCTTCATTGTGCCCTGAACAGCAACAGTTGGGCTGCCCGTGGCCTTTCTAACGTACTCCTAGTCTGTGCTACTGGAGGAATTTTCCCTGAGGAGGGGGCAGATCAGAATACCAGAGACAGGAAAGGCCACCCAAGGGTGGGCGGGTGTGGGTGGCATGGGAAACGCAATCAGCACAGTGCTGGCCACCTTTGTCCACACCACAGGGGAGCGTCACCCACCCTGCAGCCTTGTGCTGACCTCCTCCCTAACTGCTCTGCCGCACGGAGATAGGAGGCACCAGCGTGAGGAGGTGCTGCAGAAAGAGGGGATAACTAAAAAAAAAAAAAGAAAGAGGGGATAACTACAGGGACAGGGATGTAGTGTCAGAGACATGCCTTCCATTTGGCACTAGAGCACCAAGCTGCTGCTAAGGCTAGGGGGACTAACATGGTCACCCGCTGGGCCTTGATGGAGTTGTGCCCTTACCAGCACAACCTCTACTCCTGAAAAGGGAAATAAGCTTCTAGAAAGGGGCTCCAGTGGTCTGGCTTCTCGGGATGGGGCTCCTTTGCTTGAAAAGCCCTGCTAATCTTTCCCATCTTCTCAGGAACATTCTGTTCTCGCCTCAGTCCTAGGACCACGCAATATCACTGAAGGCAAAATTTTCCTAGCAACCAGAGAATCCAAGATTACATCATACCCTGCATGGCAGCTGAGCTGGTTACCTAACAGACGCCGACTTTTCCCAAGTGCTGCCTCCCCAGACCGCTGATCGGGAGGGGGCTACAGGGAGGCTGTGACAGGGGAGCTGTCAGCAGATGGCACCCTGGTGGCAATGAGCGGAGGCAGCCCCTCGCTTCTTTCCTCGCCTGCCTCGTGGGCTTTCTCGCAGGGACCTTGGGCCTCTGTAGTGAGCTGCCGGCACAAAAATAGCACTAGCTGCCCCGGGGGAGAATGGTGAGTCTGCAGAGCGGACAGCCACAGGCTGCGCAGAGGAGCCCAGCCCAAGGGCTCGGGCTCCCACCCTGCAGCCTGCCCTGTGTGGTGCTTGTCCTGTACTTCTCAAGGTCACACAGGGACTCTGACAGCTATTTAACAAGATACCTGAAGCAAAGGATTTACAAGACTCCCGCCCTTCCCACGCTGCCAGCTGGCACCCCGTCCCTGGCTGGGTGGGGAGGCTGGGAGTCCGCAGCCGTCGCTTACAGCCTCCCACTATGCTGCTGCAGTGAGTGTGGGAAGGACCCGCAGGGCTGCTGCCCATCCTGTGGCCTGTCCCATTCCTAAAGGATTGGGCTGTATTCCAGTCCTTACACAAGGATCTGCTTTCCTTTGGGACCAAAGAGGGGGCAGGCTCTTGCAGAGCATTCTTTGACCTATTCTTATCATTAGTTGGCCAGGTATTTGTCATTCAACAAAGGCCTGGCCATGAGCCCGACAGGCCTCCAGCCAAGGATGCGGATATTCTCTCTCCTCTTCTCTGTGAAATTTGGGCCAGTTAACTAATAGGGAGGGTGGGCTGATCAACTAGTTGCCATGATCCAATCTCTCAGAGTTTTAGAGCCAAGAGTGGCTCTGAGGTTATTCCCATGGTCTCACCTTCTCCTTTGAAGACCAGCATGTGGCAGCTCCCTGGGTACTCTTGCTGTCCTAGAAACACTGCAAAAGGGGCAGCAGACCCAGCCTACTGCCACCAGACCAATAGTCAGGTTTCCTGTGCATTTTACAGATGAGGCTCTGTCCTCCCAGTGGTACCTCTGCCGACACTGTCAGAGCTTGGGCTCAGAGCTTCTACCTGTCCCTTCCCACAGATGCGGGTAGCACAGGAGGGAGAAGCCGATCAGTGTCTCCTGTTCCACACTCTCTAACACGTTAAAAGACAAGGATAGGGCCGGCCCGGTGGCGCACTGGAGAGTGCGCCGCTTGGGAGCGCAGTGGCGCTCCCGCTGAGGGTTCGGATCCCATGTGGAGACCGGTTCCCGCTCACTGGCTGAGCGCGGTGCGGGCGCAACACCGAGGGTTGCGATCCCGTTGCGGTCAGTAAAAAAGACAAAAAGGAAAAAAAAAAAAGACAAGGATAGTCAAAACCAGATGATGACATTACAAGAAAAGAGAACTATAGGCCAGTATCTCTTAGGAATATAGATGCAAAAATGCCCAACAAGGGCCGGCCCATGGCTCACTCGGTAGAGTGCGGTGCTGGTAGTACCAAGGCCACGGGTTCGGATCCTATATAGGGATGGCCGGTTAGCTCGCTGGGTGAGCGTGGTGCTGACAACACCAAGCCAAAGGTTGAGATCCCCTTACCGGTCATCTTTAAAAAAAAAAAAAAAAAAAAAGCCCAACAAAATGCCAGCAAACTAAGTACAGTAACATAAAATGGATTACATACCCTCACCAAGTGATTTAGTCCAGGTATGCAAGGTTGGTTCAACATCTAAAAATCAATTAATGCAATACACCATATCAATAGAATAAAGGCTAAAAACCATGTAATCACCTTAACAGACAAAAGAAAAGCATCTGACAAAAATCAATATTTTTTTGGCGGTTGGCCCATATGGGGATCTGAACCCTTGACCTTGGTGTTATCACACTGTGCTCTAATCAACCAGTGAGTCCTATCTGACAAAATTTAACATCACTTCATGATTAAAAACATGCAACAAACTAAAAACAGAAGGGAACTTCCTCAACCTGATAAAGTGTACCTATGAACACCCCACAACTATTCATATTTAATGGCGAAAGCTCTCCCCATGAAGATTAGAAACAAGAAAAGATGTTTGCTCTCAGCATTTCTATTTAATATTTTCTTGAAGGTTCATTCCAGGGCAATTAGGCAAGAAAAAGAAATAAAAGGCATCCAGATTGTAAAGGAAGAAGTAAGATTATCTCTATTTATAAATGAGGGCCAGCCCCATGGCTCACTTGGGAAAGTGCGGTGCTGGTAGTGCCAAGGCTGTGGGTTTGGATCCTATATAGGGATGGCTGGTGCGCTCACTGGCTGAACATGGTGCAGATCACAACATGCCGAGGGTTGCGATCCCCTTACTGGTCAATAAATAAATAAATAAATAAATAAATAAATAAATTACATGATCTTAAATGTAGAAAATCTTAAGGAACTCACTAAAGAACTATTGAACTGATAAACAAGAGCTGGCCAGTTAGCCCAGTTGACTACAGCATGATGCTGATAACACCTCGGTCTGGGATTCAATCCCCGTACGGGTAAGCAATAAATAAATAAGTTACAATATCAATATGCAAAAATCAATTGTTCTTTCTACACACTAGCAATGAATAATCTGAAAATGAAATTAAGAAAATAATTCCATTTACAATAGTATTAATAATAATAAAATACTTGGGAATAAATTTAACACAGTGCAACATTTATACTCTCAAAAGTACAATCTCCACATCAGGTAATTGAAAAAAAAAAAAAAAGAAAAATACAAAATCTTTGTTGAAGGAAAGTCAACACAATCTCTATCAAAATCCCGGCTGCAGACTGGCCCGTGGCTCACTCGGTAGAGTGCGGTGCTGATAACACCAAGGCCACGGGTTCGGATCCCATATAGGGATGGCCGGTTAGCTCACTGGCTGAGCGTGGTGCTGACAACACCAAGCCAAGGGTTGAGATCCCCTTACCGGTCATCTTTAAAAAAAAAAAAAATTAAAAAAAAAAATCCCAGCTGCCATTTTTGTAGAAATTGACAAGCTGATCCAAAAATTCATATGGAAACATAAGGGACTCAGAAGATCCAAACAATCTTGAAAAGGAACAAAACTGAACTCACACTTCCTGATTTCAAAACTTGCTATGAAGCTACAGTAAACAAGACTGGGTGGTACTGGCATAAAGATCAATGAACTAGAACTGAGTTCAGAAACTAACCCTTCCATTTATGGTCAACTGACTCCTGATCAGGGTGCCAGGACAGCGGGAAAGAATGGAACGGATGGTGCTGGGCAACCGAATATTCACATGCAAAGAATGAAACTGGACCCTTTCCTCACACCATGTATAAAAATTAGCTCAAAATGGATCAGTGACCTAAACACAAGAGATAACGTTATAACGTTATTACAAGAAAACACAGGAACAAATCTTTATGATTTTGCATTAGGAAATGTTTTCTTAGATATGATGCCCACAGCACAAGCAACAAAAGAAA